AAAAAATTAAATATACAGAACATTTTTAAATTAGTAATTATAAAAAGCAAAAGAACTAATATTCATTATAGTCACTCTCGGTTATAAATACCAATTATTTTTAATAAGTCTGCCCTAAATCTCAATGGCCATTTCTCCATTAAAGCAGTACTCCATTGCTTCAGCCACGCCTACTTTGCCATCACTATTATGTCAGCCATAACTGCAACCACAAACAAGACTGTGAGGTCCCTCTTTGTCCTGCTGCAATGGTCTGGCTGTACATGCACACCTACCCGGGGCTCAGGGGTCCAGGTACCCACGCTTCATCTGGCTGTGGAACGGAGAGTAGTTGCAATTAAAGCACAACAGACTCAAGTCAGGTCTTCCCCTAGGACTACTACGGTCTAGAGCTGAAATGCTCCCCAGAATTCTCCTGTGGGCAGTGATGGGTTTGGAGGCTGCTTTACTCATCAGTAACTTCATCCACTGATAAGTTCCTGTCCGAAGGTGCTGTTAGGAGGTGAGCGGGGCCTGCTTGGCAGAAGGTCACTTGTCACCAGAAGGGCAAGTCTCTCCTCTCTCTGCTGCCCCACGTGACTAGCTGAGCACCTTCTCCTCTGCCAAGCTGTTATGCCAGGCACTAAAGCCGTGACCTAAACCAGCCTCTCCTGCTGTAAGCTGAGGGTTGGGCACGAGGCCCAGCAGGGAGGAGGCACTGAGACAGGGGTGCTGATCCAGCGGCAGCAAACCTGCGTGCACGCCTCAGAGGGGGCTTGTGGCGCTGAAAGCTCTAAAAGGTTCGCCATCACCGGCCTAATGATTTCATATCTGTAGTAAAAGAACATCATCTGGAGTTATGATAAAGTAAGATTCAGTTTACCATGGCCCAAAATGTTTTAAATCAGAAGGGTATAAATGTACAATTTTTTACGCTTACCATATCTGAAATATTACATTGGAATGAGATGGAGAAACAGAAAGAATAGAAGAGAGTTACAACAGTAAAAAATAAGTAAATCCTTTATAATTGTCTGGTTGGTTGTTCCTGGAAATCCTCCATGGGAGGATACATGCTAGCTGGCATTTTACAAAAGACACTCACTGATGCAGTTAAAAACAAAGATGGATTTCAAAATTAAGATGAAAAGAGAAAAATTCTTTGAAGTTTTATACCACAACTTGATCTCTGTTAATTAAAAATACGATTTCATGCAGATTTTCAGTCACAATTTCCAAGGCCATGAATAGAAAATGTCTAAATGTGACTTTTTTTTTTTTTTGCATCCACCACATCGGTCTAAATGTGACTTTTATACAAACCTTAACTTGACCTTGTAGTGCTTCCATTTTTTGTTCTAAAGAAAGGTGTTTCTCTTTATACTCCTTCAGATGACTCTCCAACTGACTGCAATGCTCCTGCTTATCTTGTAACTTTGCAGTGACCTGATCCAACTGTGTAATGATTTTATTTAACTCCTACAGAAAAAACACAATTGAAAAAAACTTTGATAAGGTTTACTATATTGTAGTTTTCAAATGTTTAGTCAGAGTAAAATTGAAAACTCCACAATTTCTTTTTAGTATGTGTAATAAGACCTTGAGTAACTTCACCATGGCAGAGGCCGCCCTTACCTACCAGGACACAAGACCGGAACTGAAGCGTTACCCAGGTGGGGCGCAATACCAACTCTCTGGGTACGGCACTTAGGTAACGGCTGTGGCTGTCTGCAGCGGCAGGTAGTAAATCCAGGCCAAATGTTGTGAGGCAAGCACTCTACTTCATGACATCCCCAGCCCAGTTAAACAACTTTTTTTTGTTTTTCTGAAGTTATTTTAGGAGTCAAAATGTAAGACTATTAAGGAGTTTAATGATAATTTTTCCACTGCAGCTAAATGTTTCAAATGTTCAAACACCATTTAAAAATAGTATTTTAGGGCCAGGGATACAGCTCAGCAGTACAGCACCTGTCTGGTAAATGCAAGGTCCTGAATTCGATTCTTGGTACCAAAAACAATAAAAATAGTATTTTTACAACACTGCAGTGATCATACCTTTCATATTTGTTCAATTCATTTGAAAAATACTATTGCACACAATGAACAGAATAAAAATTACTAGTAAACCCACCATCCATGAACAGCCACAGCAATATTTTGATAACTTATCTTCAGGTTATGTATTTTCTATCTGCCAATTTCTACTTTGGGGGACTTCCAAAATAAAAATAGGATTTCACTTTATTTGCTACTTTAACCTTTGCTTTTATGCATCATAAAATCTTCAGATTTTTCGAAAATACAATATTCTACTACATAAATTTCCATCTTATTCATGCTGTCATTTTTTAGTGCATCACTTTTAAACGTGTGCGTGCGTG